TGTAGTGTCTTTTGTGATATTTCCTTTTTCATCACGTATTATAGTAATTTGAGTTTTCTCTCTCCTTCTTTTAGTTAGCATGGCTGAGGGTTTGTCAATTTTATTTATTTTTTCAAAGAACCAACTTTTTGTTCTATTAATTTTTAAAAAAATTATTTCAATTTCATTGATTTCAGCTCTGATTTTAATTATTTCCTGTCTTCTGCTTTTGGTGTTGATTTGTTCTTCTTTTTCTAGGGCTTTGAGATGTAATGTGAAGTCATTTATTTGTTGACTTTTTCTTCTTTTAAGGAATAAACTCCATGCAATGAACTTTCCTCTTAAAACTGCTTTCATTTTTTAATGCAGAGTAATACTCCATTGTGTATAAATGCCACATTTTTTTTATCCATTCATCCATTTAAGGGCATCTAGGTTGGTTCCACAGTCTAGCTATTGTGAATTGTGCTGCTATGAACATCGATGTAGCAGTGTCCCTGTAGCATGCTCTTTTTAGGTCTTTAGGGAATAGACCGAGAAGGGGAATAGCTGGGTCAAATGGTGGCTCCATTCCCAGCTTTCCAAGAAATCTCCATACTGCTTTCCAAATTGGCTGCACCAATTTGCAGTCCCACCAGCAATGTACAAGTGTACCCTTTTCCCCACATCCTCGCCAGCACTTGTTGTTGTTTGACTTCATAATGGCTGCCAATCTAACTGGAGTGAGATGGTATCTTAGGGTGGTTTTGATTTGCATTTCTCTGACTGCTAGAGATGGTGAGCATTTTTTCATGTACTTGTTGATTGACTGTATGTCCTCCTCTGAGAAGTGTCTGTTCAGGTCCTTGGCCCATTTGTTGATTGGGTTGTTTGTTCTCTTATTGTCTAATTTTTTGAGTTCTTTGTATACTCTGGATATTAGGGCTCTATCTGAAGTGTGAGGAGTAAAGATTTGTTCCCAGGATGTAGGCTCTCTATTTACCTCTCTTATTGTATCTTTTGCTGAGAAAAAACTTTTTAGTTTGAGTAAGTCCCATTTGTTGATTCTAGTTATTAACTTTTGTGCTATGGGTGTCCTATTGAGGAATTTGGAGCCCGACCCCACCGACTGTAGATCGTAGCCAACTTTTTCTTCTATCAGACGGCGTGTCTCTGATTTGATATCAAGCTCCTTGATCCATTTTGAATTAACTTTTGTGCATGGCGAGAGAAAGGGATTCAGTTTCATTTTGTTGCATATGGATTTCCAGTTTTCCCAGCACCATTTGTTGAAGATGCTATCCTTCCTCCATTGCATGCTTTTAGACCCTTTATCACATATAAGATAGTTGTAGTTTTGTGGATTGGTTTCTGTGTCCTCAATTCTGTACCATTGGTCCACCCGCCTGTTTTGGTACCAGTACCATGCTGTTTTTGTTACTATTGCTCTGTAATATAGTTTGAAGTCTGGTATCGCTATACCGCCTGATTCACATTTCCTGCTATAGAATTTACAGGGAAATGGATGGCATTAGAGCAGATTATGCTAAGTGAAGCTAGCCAATCCCTAAAAAACAAATGCCAAATGTCTTCTTTGATATAAGGAGAGTAACTAAGAACAGAGTAGGGTCGAAGAGCATGAGAAGAAGATTAACATTAAACAGGGATGAGAGGTGGGAGGGAAAGGGAGAGAGAAGGGAAAAAGCATGGAAACGGAAGGAGACCCTCAGAGTTATACAAAAGTACATACAAGAGGAAGTGAGGGGAAGGGGAAAAATAATACAAGGGGGACAAACGAATGTCAGTAGAGGGGGCAGAGAGAGAAGAGGGGAGGGGAGGGGAGGGGAGGGGGGATAGTAGAGGATAGGAAAGGCAGCAGAATACAACAGACACTAGTATGGCAATATGTAAATCAATGGTTGTGTAACTGATGTGATTCTGCAATCTGTATATGGGGTAAAAATGGGAGCTCATAACCCACTTGAATCAAATTGTGAAATATGATATATCAAGAACTATGTAATGTTTTGAACAGCCAACAATAAAAAATTAAAAAAAAAAAACAAAAAAACAAAAAAAAAACTGCTTTCATAGTATCCTAGAGATTTTGATGTGTTGTATCTGTGTTCTCATTCACCTCTAAACATTTTTTAATCTCCTCCTTGATGTCTTCTGCAACTCATTGTTCATTCAGTATTTAGTCTCCATGTTGTTGGAGTGGCTTTTATTTCTTATTTTATCTTTAATTTCTAATTTTGTTCCATTATGATCTGATAGAATGAAGGATAATATCTCTACTTTTTTATATTTGCTAAGAGTTACTTTGTGGCATAGTATATGTTCTATTTTAGAGAAGAATCCATGTGCTGCTGAGAAAAAAGTGTATTCTCTCCTTGAAGGATGAAATATTCTATATATGTCAGTTAAACCTAAGTTATTGATTGTATTATTGAGTTCTATAGTTTCTTTGTTTAGCTTTTGTTTGGAAGATCTATCTAGTGATGAAAGAGATGTGTTTAAGTCACCCAAAATTATTGTTTTGTGGTCTGTTTGACTCTTGAACTTGAGAAGAGTTTGTTTAATGAATGTAGATGCTTCATTGTTTGGGGTATGATGTATATTTATAATTGTTAAGTCTTGTTGGTGTATGGTTCCCTTGAGCAATATATAGTGTCCTTCTTTGTCCTTTTCAATTGACTTTAGCTTGAAGTCTACTTTATTTGACATGAGGATAGAAACACCTGCTTGCTTCCGCAGTCCATGTGAGTGGTATGATTTTTTCCAACCCATCACCTTCAGTCTGTGGATATCTTTTTCTGTGAGTCTCTTGTAGGCAGCATATTGGAATTTTTATTTTTTAATCCGATCTGCTAGTTTATGTCTTTTGGTTGGTAAGTTTAGGCCATTAGCACTCAGGGTTATTATTAAGACATGATTTGTATTCCCAGCCGTTTTCGTTTATTTTTGGTATTTAACATGACTTGGTTTCTCCTCTGATTAGATTTTTCTTTAGTATAATATGTCCCTCTGCTGATTTTTATCATTGTTTTTCATTTCTTCTTCTTAGAATATTTTGCTGAGGATGTTCTGTATTGCCGGTTTTCTAGTTGTAAATTCTTTTAACTTTTGTTAGTTATGGTAGGTTTTTATTTCATCATCAAATCTAAAGCTTAGTTTTGCTGGATATTAGATTCTTGGTTGGCATCCATTTTCTTTCAGAGCTTGGTATATGTTGTTCCATGATCTCCTGGCTTTGAAGGTCTGGGTTGAAAAATCTGCTGAGTTACGAATTGGTCTCCCCCATATGTGATTTTATTCCTCTCTCTTGCAGCTTTTAAGATTCTATCCTTATTCTGTATTATTATAATGTGCCTTGGTGTAGATCTGTTGTAATTTTGTACATTTAATGTTCTGTAAGCATCTTGTATTTGGTTTTCCAATTTCTTCTTCCTACTTGGGAAATTTTCTGATATTATCTCATGGAAGAGATTGTGTATTCCTTTGGTTTGAAACTCTATGCTTTCCTCTATCCCAGTAACTCTTAGATTTGGTCTTTTGATGCTGTCCCATAATTCTTGGATGTTCTGTTCATGGTTTCTTACCGTCTTCACCATGTGATCAACTGGATTTTTCAGATTGTATACTTTGTCTTCATTATCTGACGTTCTTTCTTCTAAGTTATCTAGTCTGTTGGTTATGCATTCTATTGAGTTTTTTATTTGATTTATTGTGTCTTTCATTTCAAGGATTTCTGACTGCTGATTGTTCAGAGTCTCTCTCTCTCAAAATAATCTTTTGCTACCTATATTTGCTCTCTTATCTCTTTGTTGAAGTGATCAACTTTTGCCTGTATTTGCTCATGTAGGTCATTCTTTAATGCATAGATCATTTCAATTATGAACCTTCTGAACTCCTTCTCTGACATTTCATCAACTTTGCCGTCCATGGGTTCTGTTATTATAGTATGCTGGTTTGTTTGGTGCACTTTCCTCCCTTGTTTTTTCATGTTATCTATTTGTCTTCCTTTCTTGCAGTGTAGATCAGAGGTGTTACAGTTTGTTTCCTATATTCTTGTAGTACCCGTGCAGATTGTTTGTACCTTGATGTTGGGCTTCCAGACCCTGCTGGTGTCCCTCAGTGTATGCTACTGCATCTAAAGGTTGTGGCGGCAATAGTCGAGATAATAGTTTAAGGTGCCCCAAGGTGGAAGCAGTGTCTTACAGAGATGGGGCTGAAAGGGATGGGCCCCACACTGCCTTTGGGATGCCTGCTCTGAGACGCAGCTGCTTCTATGCCCTGTCTGCTGTCAAAAGGTTAGGAGCTACTGTGTGGGGAAGGCTATGGCCATGACTGCAGTGTTCCAAGATGGAAGTGGCTTAGGCTTAGGCTCCCAGGAAGAGGGGGATGAACTCGGACCAACCCTGGACCTGGGCCCTGCACAAATCTGTGTGGACGGATCTGGGCCTGGCCTGGGCTCCCGTGGTAATCTGCTGGTCAGAAGAGGCAGTCCTGTGCCAGAGACTGGACTCTGGTGGGTGTCTGCCCCATGGGTGGAGGGGTGGACGCAGGCCTACTGTGAGCCTGGATCCAGCACCACAGGCCAGTGTGGATGGATCTGGGCCACTGGGCTTGACCTCCCTCAGTAGTCTGTTGGTCAGAAGGGTGGGGGGTTGGTCCTGTGCCGGAGGCTAGGCTCTGGCAGGTGTCTACCCCGCAGGAAGAGGGGTAGACGAGGGCCTACTGTGAGCCTGGGTCCCGCACGGGCTGGAGTGGGCTGTCTGGGCGTGGCATGTGCTGCCGCAGTAGTCTGCTGGTCAGAAGAGGTGGTTCTGTGTCAGAGCCTCAGGCGGGTATCTGCTCTACAGGTGGAGGGGTGGACCTGGGCCTACTGTGAGCCTGGGTCCTGCACAGGCCAGTGTGGTTGACTCCCTACTTTTGATTTTCATTTAGGCTAGTAAAATTAATTTTTTCTATTATTAGTATAGCAAAATGGTATTGAAACTTTTATCTTTTTTTTTTTTTTTTTTTTTTGTCTTTGACAGGGTCTGAGAGAGACGAAACATCCATATACCTTTGTGTCAAAGGAGGGTTTTAGAGAATTACTTTTGGTCAAAGGAGCTCCTGAAAAGGCTATTCCTTTGCTACCTAGACTAATTCCTGTGCTAAAGGCAGCTCTGGTATGTTGTCACTTACTTCCTTGTGCTTTTAATTTAAAAATCACATGATAGAAAAGAGAAAACTCTAACATAGAATATTTTATGCCTTCCCCCTACTTCTGTATTATATGCAAAGTAGTCCTTAATCTGTGATTTTGCTGTATGTACAAAATGAGGCCACTCTTATTCAAGGCCAGATGATTATGAAGACACCTTTAGAAGATGTACTAACTGTGTACACAGGGAAATTTTGAGTAATTAGAGGAAGTAGTGAACCTCAAATTAGTCTTTCTGTAAGCTAGATGTATTTTAGCTAATGATTTAGTTATGATGATATTTTTTGTTTTTGCTTATAGAAGTCCTGTATTAAAGTTATTTTTGAAATTTTGTTTTTTATTATTCTCTTTTAATTTTAAATGTTTAATCTTACTTTTTTCCCCTACCTGTTTGCCCTTTGCTAACCTATCTTCCCTTTTTTTTTTCCTTCTTTTTCACTCCTTCTTCTGTATCTCCAACTAACCAACCCAAAAGGTCCATTCAGATGATGAAGTGTTTGAAAGAGGATTGTGTGCTTTGGTGCAGTTAAGTGTCATAGTTGGTCCTTCCCTAAATGATCATCTGAAACATCTGCTTACCAGTGTAAGTACTGCAAATATTAGATGTATATATATATATATATATATATATATATATATATATACACACACACACAAACACACACACACACACACACACACACATATATGTATATATGATTTAATTTCTTCAAGTTAATCATTCAAATATCTCAACCTTAAAAAACAAAAAGGAACTCATCATCATCCAAACCAGAAAATATTGAGATTGGACTTAGTAATTCATAATGCATTTTACTAGTGGACAGTAAAAATGGAAGTGCTTATAAGAGCAGAGTTTAGACAAATAATGAAAAGTAAACAAAATTGAATTTATAAAACTTAATGAACAGTATAATGGTATTACACTTGTGTTAATTAGCTATGAATTATAAGCAGTGCTCATACACCCTGCGCCTTGGTGTCCAGGGTTTTTATTGCAGTCTGTCACTTGGGCATGACTGCCTGCCTGCCTGTGTATTTAGAGATTAGTCCATAACCTTCACAGAATCTAGCTGATACTTTGACCCAAGGCCCCCACCATAAGTCACATTGTTAGTGTGAACCATCTGACATGGCCAAAAGCCCCCAGGATAATAGAGATACTCCTGTGTGGCAGGACATTCTAAAAGCTTAGAGGTTATCATCCAGGAGGTAGGAAAAAGGACCAAATTTTTTTTTTAGATAAGGGTAATCAATACACCACTAGGAAGTCCTGGCTGGAAATATCCACAAAGAGGATGGGGGCCAGGTTCAGTGACACATGGCTGTAATCCCAGCAACTTGGGAGCTAATGCAGAAGGATCCCAAATTCAAGACCAGTCTTAGCAATAAAGCAAGGCCCTAAGCAACTTACCCCTCCCCCTCCCAAAAAAAAAAAAAAAAAAAAAAATCCAAGAAGGTGGGGAGACTACTGCACAATCTGAAGAAAGTGAACTAAATGACTGTGACTCTCTTTCTTTCAAGTTGCCCTTCTCTCTTTTTTTTTTTTTTTTTTTCTTTCTGATAGTGTCTTCTAATCCTGCCTAATCTTTGATGATTGGCTTGGCTGACAGGCCCTTTTATTCAATGTTCAATGGTGTGAAGTATTTCCATTGGGTTACTTTTTATTCCTGAGAGAAGGAAGGACCATAAACCAACTTTATATGGCCCGGGCCTTAAAAATGATGTCTATTTTATATAAATTTTAATGAGATGTTTCTTAAAAGAAGCCTTGAAATCTCAAATTATGGGATGTTTATCAAGTTTTATTTATGTCTATGGCTGAACTGTTACTTTTTCAAATCATTTCAACCTTTGCATCATCTCCCCACCTTCAAAAGCTTTCCAAGAGACTAATGGACAAGAAATTCAAAGAGCCAATCACAAGTGCATTACAGAAGCTAGAGCATCATGGTGGAGGTGTAAGTAGAATATTCATTAAGTCATGTTTTTGGTTTGGTTTTAACTTTTAATTCTATTATAAAATTATTTATTAAAATCTATTATCTCATTTCAGCTATAAGTAAACATGTGAAGGTAATATTTTCATTTTAGAGCTCACAGTTTCTGGGACTCAGGTCACAGTTTCTTGGTAACCCAGTGGCTATTTATTTTTCACTGTGCTCACCAACGCACACCATGCGTTGTAGCTTTAGCTTCTTCCTTTAAAATATTTAAAATGTTTTGTTTTGACCATTGAAAAACTCAGAGGAAAAAAATATCTCATTTACAGAGCTCATGGAAGACAGAGTTTTTCCCCCCTCCACTTTTATTTATTTGGTGCTGGGTATTGACCTCAGGGCTTTGTACATGCTGAGCTGGTACTTTCCCATTGAGCAACACTCCCAGCTCTCTTTTTTCCTTTTAATTTGCCATCTTTTCTGCCTCAGAATTTAAGAATCTATCATAAGGATTGAAATGACACTTCTAAATGACTGGGCAATTGAGTTTCACACATGCACGCGCACACACGCACGCACACACACACACACATTTTGAATAGTTCAATTGATTATTCTAACTTTTCAAGGTATTTTGTTACTATTTGGTGTCAAATAACTAGGTTAATTGTATTTTCATCATTTGAAAGACGTGTTCACATAATTTAGTTTTAGAAATATTTTCATACAACAGTCTTGTTTTGGAGATTACGGTTTATCAGATTTTAATAATATAACCACATGTAATTATCTTAACAATGAATAACTTTGTTTCATTTTAGGTACTTTGTAAAGGAATTAATTGTAAGAAAATTTGTAAGATCATAAAAATTGTAAAATGGTGAACAATTTAGTTTAAACTTTGCCTAAATTACCTAATTCCAATAACTTTTTTGATTGTATTCTTTTCATAATGAATGCCTTGATAAAGTTTATGAAGAGCCAGTAATTCCCTAAGCCTACTAGATAATAAATTTCTATGTTGTGATTTAAGACCTAGGCAGAGGATTAGTATTTACACATCTTGTTGAGAACTAGCCATTAATCAATCCAGTGACTCTTAGCAGAAGTGAAATACTCACAATTCTCTGTACCAAGAATTTAAATTCAAAATGTATTTATCCTTTCTCCCCTATGAAATGGAAGTAAATAGATGCTACATACAGATGTCAGCTTTTTAATATGAAATTCTCCCTAAACGCTTTTCCATGTTCTGTGGACCTGTGCAGATTCAGACAGTAAAAAGTGTGTGTGTGTGTGTGTGTGTGTGTGTGTTTTTGGTGTGGGGCTATTAGCATGTAAAGAGATTTTAAAACAGCACAGATAGATTGATAGCTGGAATACAGAGGATGTGCTTGACCAATCCCAGGGTCCTAGAGAGAGTAATTCTTTTTTATTGCCACATAATCTCATTTGCTTTGAATGATATTAAGACAGATTTTTTTTTAAAAAATAAAAGAGAGATTTTATAGTTATAAGGGCTCTAAGGTATTGTTTATTTTCTTCAGATATCTGTACTCTCCTTATGTCCTATGTAAAACTTTAGTAATAATTCATGTAATTGCAATAGAAAAATTTCTACTGAAATTGCGTATCAAGGACTTTCTCTTTGCTTCATTAGTATCGTGCTTGCCTTTGTACTTTGCAGTTCTTCATGAACTTAATGAATCATGTTTCTCCTCTAAGAATTTCAAAACTTATTAAGTTTCTTTAAATGTCAAAAATTAGTCTTTTTAAAAAGATTCTTCTTTATTGCAGTTTCACTTTTCTTAGGGTCTCTGTATATTATAATGATGTGAAGATCCACCTTCTGGAGAAATAAATAAAACATGTTACAGACAATGAGTTACTTCTTGTAAATAATATTTTTGCTACCTGCCTTAAATTGTGATGAGTTCATTCCTAGCCTAATTTAATTTTCTTAGTTACATGCTTATTTGTTGTGGGAAAGCCATACACTTAAACATACCCTGATCTTTCTTTATTGATTATATAAGAGCTTACTTCATGACAGGTACTCTTCTGTGTACTTTTAGGCATCAAACTCACCTAATCTTTATTAACAATCCTCAGAGGTAGAGTTTGTTGTTAATCTCCTTTAAAGATCAAGAAACTGAGGTGCAGAGCCCAGGTTTGACAATGAAATAACTGAGAGAAGCTGAATTTGAATACTGGTCTGATTCCTAACTGCTTCTCCAGATACTTTTTAAAAAAGGAAGAAACAATCTATATTTTATTTAACTCAGAAAAGAAAAGGTCTACTTTTCATTCCATCATTTTGTTCTTACCCATTTTGTTTTGGATACTTCTTAGGCACACTTCTGCACATGCTGATGCTTGTTAGCATAGTCTTACATGTTAGTCTTCATGGAATAATGATATTGCACTATTTTTCTGTTGGCAGGGAAGCCTTATAATCATCAAATCCAAAATTCCAACATACTGCTCGATATGCTCTTGAATAAGGGAGGCAAGAGAAGTCATCTTCCTGCTGACAGGTCTCATACACTGACCATGGATACCCACGAAACCTTGTTCAGTTCAGTTCATTCTTTTGTAAATCACAACTACCGGTCATTGTTTACTAGGTTAAGATAAGTATATGTACCTGCCGAATCATAGTGAAGGTTACTCATCAACAAAAAGGAATGGCTAATAATGGAAGGTTATTAAAGGAACTTTTGTAATAGTATAACTTTGTGGTTTTTCTTCATCTTTTTATCATTTGTGTGAAGAACCATTGAGTTTATAAGATCAGGTGTGTTTGTATTTATTTTCTAGTGCTTTTTTAATTTGTAACACTTGCAGTTATTTGTAGCTGTATGTTTATGTTTATAGGGTTTTTTTTTTTGCCATTTCTTAGTTTTTATATATATCAAGCTATAGAAATTTCAAATATTGGATTAATCCTTGTGAATTCACTATTTTTTATTTGTAAATAAATATGTATTTTATTATGTAGAATGCTTGGAAAAATTACTTTCCAGAGTATTCTACTTTTAAGAAATTTTTTAAGTGTGTAAATTCTACTGCAGGTTTGTTGTTTATTACAACTTGTTAAAACTACCTAAACTTCAGGTGTTAATTGTATTTAAGTAAATGTTATTTTTGCATTTCATAGCCTGAAAATATTTATGAATATATACAGATATTCAGGAATTAAAATCTTAAAACTTATATTATTCAGTGACTTTGTTGTGCTTGCTTATGTTTAATAGTTAATTTAGCATTTTATAAGAAATTTTAAGATATAACTTATTGCATGCCTGTAATCCCAGCAGCTCAGGAGATGAGGCAGGAGGATTCCAAGTTCAAAGCCAGACTTATCAATGAGTAAGGCCCTAACCAACTTAGTGAGACCCTGTCTCAAAAGAAAGAAATATAAATAGGGCTGGGGATGTGGCTCAGTGTTTGAGCACTACTGGGTTCAATCCCTGGTACCAGAATAAACAAAAACGATAAAGTGTACAGATATAGTTCAGAATTTTTGATGTCATAGCTGACTCTAGATCATTCTGGAAAAGGAAGACATAGAGGAAGAGAAATAGAAAGCAAGAATAAGACCTATCTTACTGACAAGAAGAGAGGCTATAATGAACTTGAGTATCGATACTAAATCCAAAACAAGAATGATACTTACAAAGAATGGAGATGTGAAATCACTACTTTACATGGAAGCAAATATCTTAAATCTCAGAAGCATCTAAGAATGCCCTTTCCTATTCTGTCCCTCAAACACCTGGATTAACCTCTTTGCAGTGCCCACTTCATTTTATTTATTGATTGATTGGTACTGGGAATTGAATTCACCGAGCCCTATCCCCATCCCTTTTTTGTATTTTATTTAGAGGCAGGGTCTCACTGAGTTGATTATGGCCTTCCTAGGTTGCTGAGGCTGGCCTTGAACTTAGGATCCTCTTACCTCAGTTTCCCAAACTGCTGGGATTACAGGAATGCCCCACCACTCCTGGCTGTAGTGCCTTTTTTATATAGTCCCACAGCTGCCTGCCCACTGGTCTTGCTTTGATTTTTCTTCTTCGTATTCAACACCAACCAAAGATATGTAATTTAGACAATGCTGTACGATTGTACTAGATTAAAAACATCATTTAAAAATAATGTTAGAATAAAGACTTATAACAGACAGTAGAGTTATAAACACTTTATTTTGCTTTTATTTTTCCCTTTTGAAATACAAAATGTGCACATTGAGTTTACACAGACACGCGATGGCAAATTTCAGTGTACATGTATTGTACTACTCTTAATTTCTACACTGGTGATAGCAGGGCAGCTTTCAACATCCTATCTCTACACCAGAATAGATAACCTGATTTATTGTTGCAAAGACAGTTGCAAATTTCCTCCTCTTATAGCCTCTTGGTCTTTGTGATATTCTACAAAACAGGGAAGATATGTTTATCTATGGTAATGTGGCAATTTTTACAGTTTTGACTTAAGAATCTGAATTGTTGGAGATTTATGATAAGCTAAATCATAGTACAATCCAAATGAGTTATTCAGCATTTATATTCATTTTCTATGAAATCTTGAAATTAGTTCTCAATATGATAGAATCATTGGTGCTTTCAAAGTGAATTCTGCTTGCTGTTTGTTCCTAATAGCTTTGGGGTAGTCAAGGTTTCTTTGTCCCTGAATGGCTTATAATATAAACATGCTGTGAGGAAGTCAGATGAAAGGAGATGAATCGGCCTTTAATGCTGTTAAGGATTACTTGTTATTAAGCATTACTATGTATTGGAGGACAGATATCCTGACCCTTTGCATATGTCTGTAAACATCCTTAGTTTCACACCTTCTTGAACTTCACATAATGACACAATAGAAAATGAACCACCTGTAAGATTGAACAAATCCAAAATTTCATATATATATATATATATATATATATATATATATATGGCCTTGGCTATAATATGCATTATGGAAAATTAAGAAATGCTTATTAAAATAAGTTTTATTAGGCATATGCTGATATCTGATAATAAACTAACTTGTTAGATGTTATAAAAAATGCCAATAAATTAATGTCTTTAACAGAAGGTGGGAGATACATAGTGATTGGGACTATGTTTTTTTAGTTTTGGTAGTAATCTTGTTAATGTTATATAAATGGAATTAAGTGAAATTAAATTTGGAAATTAAATGCCGATGCAGATATTTTAGAAAACCATTTAAAATCCTAGGACTGAATACATACAAATGTGTAGCAAAAACACTGGTATTTTAAAATCACTGATATGTGAAAGCCTCAATAATCCCATGGCTAAAGAATCAAAACTATATGCCAAATTCTATTACTTTTGAATATTCATAGAGTTTGAAATGAGTTAGAACATCTCATGGACTCAGTAACATTATGAAAAGGATGCAAATTTATAATGGAAAAAATCAGATCTTCAGGGGATTGTTTTATATTAAAACAAAGCTTGTTTGCATAATATGCCTCAGTGTAAAGCTGAGCAATCTATGCTAAAAGTGGTAGCTCCAACTTAAGTGTGGTAGGGTAGTTCACATTTATCTGTTTGAGGATCTATTTGACAAGTTATATCACATTTTCAAAGAGCTGCATGGAGCGCATTATGTTTTCATCCTGTAAGGGAGAAACAGAGGGATTAAATTCAGCATATCTGCCATGGTAAGTTATCTGTTGTGCCTTTTAAGTATTGCCTCCTCCCACCAACTTCCTATGCCAAAGCTAACATACTGTTTGCAAATGTAAATGACTGTCTATCCACTTTCCACATGATTCCCAGGAGAGTCTGTTTAATGTATTCTGAGTGTACCAGGCTCAGATGCTTTATTTAAATCTTGATGTTAATAGAGAATATTTCTCAAATGATAATGCCAAAATGGAAACCAGGAGGCACTGGTAATTCAAAGTGAGCAAATGAGAATTTTGACATTTCAGGTAGATCACAAGCCAAATCACAGAAGATTTATACAGACGCAAAGAAACTATGTGTGTTGAGTTATGCCCCAGCTTCCTAAGGATTGGTGTTTGGGGCATGGGAATCTGGAAGGTGGATTAAGAAGAATGAATATTTGCAGTAATTGTGCTTCTGTTTCTGTGTCTTCCAGTTGTGGCTAAATCTGTGTGGCCTTTAGGAGCCTCTAAAAATGATATGAATTTGTTGGGACAACCCAACTACTATGTATAACTATAAAACTGCAGTAAAAAAATTAATTATGCCCCACAAAATAAATAAAATTAAATGAAAAAAATGAATAGCCTCAAATCAGAGAAAGGATTGGTTAGGAGAAACCCTTGCACATGGCTGTGTTCAGTTTACCATATTCCATAGAAATGAGCTATGAGGACAGACTGGATTCTTTAGAAGCTCTTGTCAATTTTGTGAATGTTCTTTGTGAGCTATTTATAGTCATGGTAAATAGTGGCTGAACCAATAATGGCTTGAAACCAAGTAACGACACCACCATTAGGCAGGATAATGTTACCATGTTAATTATTTTGAAAGACCATTACTTTGAAATATGATCTAAGAAACAGGCATGCATCAGGCAAGATAAAGAACAATAAAAAGTAAGGGGAAAAAAACCTAAAGCATCAAAAAATTTCTTTGTTTCCATCATTACTTTAGAAATCCTTAATTGTGGTTCTACCTACAAATCTAGTCCAATAATTCTAGTGAGCTAACACTGGATTTCCCAGATGTACAGATTTCTCCTTTGAGAAACTTTATATTCTGCATTTTTTGTGACTGAAGACCTTTACTGGCTTCAGTTAAAAAGCCATTTCTTGCTTACATATACCAGAGCAATAATGTTTCTTTTAGAAATAGGTTATAAGCTTGACTTGTGATACGTATGTGACTGTATTGAAATTCTAATTCTATGGAGACATGATAGATGTATACATATAAGTCCAGGAGAAGAGCCATTCAAGTTGCTTATGTTTTATTGTCAATAGTGAATATTCACTGAGGATTTGGTAAACCAAAACACAGTCCTTATATAATTTTTGTATCTCTAGGGCTTTGTACTTATCCTAACTCAAGGAAGCACTATGTAATGCTGATTGAATGAATGTATAAATTGACACTTGTTTTCAGAGTAGTAGTTCTTTCTCATACATTGTAGGAGTGCTGAGTTAAGACATTTGATCTTTATATTTTTCTCAGTTCATGTTGTTTACCTGTTATGGAAACAAAAGGGGCAGTTCTTTTCCTGTCAGTACTTACTTTTTGGCAACTTTCGATGAATTCATCTATGGTAACGACCCCATCTTTATTTTTGTCCATTTTCTGTTCAGGAAGAAAAGAACAAAACATTTTATGCACACTTATCTTTTGCTACCCTTACACCAGAATCCAATGGCCAAAGTGGATAAAAAGAAAGCCCATCTGCTTGTTTTATGTGGAAGAATTGCATCATGGCAGGAATTTGAGGTTTCTTAGGATACAAATCATATGACCAAATCCTTCCATGCTGTGCTTTTTTTTTAGTACAATGGGAAGGTCTAGAGTCACTCTGCCCTAGGTAAAAAAAAATCCTGTTTTCTAAACATGGCAGCTCAGACAATTTGCTCTACTTTTAGAGCCATGGTTTTCTCATCTGTAAAATGGACAAATGAGGGTTTATAACTTCATACATTCTTGTGAAAACTGATGGAAATAAGTGAAAACTTGTGAAACTTGAGAATTGCTTACT